CCACTCACTCTGGTTGGATTTGTGGCCTGCTCCACAGGTGGAGTTCACATTTAGTACTGTAAACATTAAAAAGGCTGTGGTAGGGATGAGGTCATAAGTCTTACAGAGGCAGCTGCTACTATTTTGCTAAATGGACATGATGTACCTGTCAAAGTGAACTCTAAATATTTTTTTATGACAGCAGATTAGTGCCACTCTAGCTCTGGTCAGTGGTTACTTCAGAGACTAATTGTTCAAAATACTGAGAATAAGTGACTGAAATGCTCAGCCCCACATGGAACACCCGTGTCACTCCCTCCAGGGCTCAGTGAACACTAAGAGGAAGTAGGAAGGATCTCAGAGCCAGAAGGGGTAGAGAGCTGCTTTCCAGGCTCAATACGATCATCCCATTCTCTAGCTCTTTAACCCCAGTATCTGCACTAGACCTATACAAGGTGAGCTTTGTCAACACCCATCATGGAGTGAATAGGTGTTTACAAGGTCCTGTCCTTCTCTGAGCTATTATGTGCAGTTAACAAATGATGTCAGCATTATAAGCAATTAATGGTTTTTGAGCGGGGGAAGGAGAGACATTTTCTTCAGCAGTGTATATAGGCATTAGATACCCATGTCCTGTAATAAATAACCCTTTATCCATGCCCTACTATCCTTAAATTCATTGGTACACAATACTCTCTCCCCACCCCTCCCTCAAAGGACAGAAACTGAAAAAAGGATAGAATTATACTCACTCAAGTATACTAAGATTTGTTAGTAAGCAACCCTTTGGACTAGACTTAAATATGCCTTAACTTTACCACTATTTGTTTTTTCTTAATAAAAAAATGTACATCCAGATTAGACTGAATACGCACATAAAGCTTTAAGATAAAATAAAGACTTCCTCTGTGTATCATGCTGTGTGTGTATGAACTCTGCCCCTGAACTGCTTCTTTAGTGATTTTCCTGCCTTGGTCTCACAGGCCTGTGCCCCTAAGGTCTTAAGACTTTTAAGGAGCTCAACTATAGCTAAAACCTCTGGGGGAAACCTTTGACATAGTTTAGCTTTCGTGTTACCATTCTCCCACCTATTTTACTAACATATTTGACCATGGAATCAGGTACATATTAAATCTTGTCCAAACAACACAACAGTAAAAATCCTCCCAAATTTTTTATTTAAAAATGGACAATCTAAACAGACATTTCTGAAAAGAAGACATACAGCCAATAGATATATGAAGAAATGAGCAACACTCCAATCGTCAAGGAGCTGCAAGAGGCTCAGCAGGTAAAAGTGCTTGTAATACAAGCCCAATGATTCAATGATCTGACTTTGATCCAGAACTTGCGGAACCCGTGTAATGTAGTGGCGTATATCTGCAATCCCAGAACTCCTCTGGGGAACAAAGAGGCAGAGACAGACTGGCGTATGCAAGCAGCCAGCAGAAGTGAGATACTCCGCTCCTCATTAAGTTGTAGGGCAATTAACATAAGTGGTCATTGATTTACGTAAAGGATGGGGTTGCAATTGCATCATGAAATTCTTTTCCACACACACACACACACACACACACACACACACACACACACGAGGGTGAACTGCAAAACAAAGGGGGTTCTACTGATGATGGGAATGTAGACTGATACAGCCAGTACCAAAAACAGTATGGAGGGTCCTCAAAAAATGAAAACAGACCTACTTTATAATGTAGCAACCCTCTGATTAGACATATATCCTAGGTCTATTGACACTTCACTCAACTGTGACCCAGCACTCGGGAGGCAGAGGCAGGTGGATCTCTGTGAGTTCGAGACCAGCCTGGTCTACAAGAGCTAGTTCCGGGACAGCCTCCAAAGCCACAGAGAAACCCTGTCTTGAAAAACTAAGAGTTGGTAACATGGAAATATAAAGGAGATTAGAGATTAGTTCTAGAAAGGGTGAATGGCAGACACACAGAATTGGGGGCAATGGCTCTAATGTTCTCTAGTAAAGAAGGGTAACTATAGTGCACAACAACTAATTATGTATTTTAAGACAACACTGGAAAAGATGGAAGGTTCTCACTAGACAGAAAGCTAATAATTGAAAAGATGGAAGATGCTGATTACTGTGATTTGACAATTACAGGTGTACTGGATCATATTATTCAAGTCCACAAATAAGTACAAATATTGTTTGTTATGTCAATTAAAAAAAAAAACAGGCTGTGTTGGTGCATACCTTTAATCACAACACGGGGAGGCAGAGGCAGGCAGATCTCTGTGAGTTAGAGGCCAGCTACAGAGTGAGTTCCAGGACAGCTAGGGCTATACACAATCCCTGTCTCCGAGAAAACAAAAACAAACAAAAAATTAAAAAAAAAAACAAAACAGCCTTTTCTTGTATGATCTCCACACAACTAAACTTTATAAACTATTTGCTACGTGTCACATGTTATTTTGGAAGCTTAGAGAACTGAATACAGATTTCGGTGCACATCAGCTGTGCCAAAATCTAACAGGAGAGATAAACAAGTAAACAGATACCAGGAATATTCTCACCTCGAAGGTGAGAATACCTTCTTTTCCACTTTTTATTGAAAATAGGTTCTTTTCACATACAATAGAGTGAAACTGGTTTTCTCTCCCTCTAC